TTGTCATAAAATATAAATTGTTGGAGAAGGGAAATGGGGAAATTTTGTTAAAAAGTAAAATATCAGATGTGACGGGCATGATTGAATTTACTTTATGAGTTACTGTTTTATGTGCTTTGCCAACTGACTCATATGGTAAATCCAGTAATGTTCGAGGCGGTCGCATATTTTACCTTGTAGACTTTTTAATAAAATTTCAGTTTCTTTTCGTAAACGTTATTTTTGTACTTTAGGACACTTAGGGATTTGAGTTATATTTTAAACTTTAATTTTACTGAAACGTTTTAGCAAATATCTTCAATTCAAATATACTACATAAAGGTAACATTTAACATAAATTATTATTTTATATTTGGTTACATTTTCTATCTTTAATTTCTCCTCTTCACCATTTATACATTAACTGAAGTGAATGGTATTAAAGGAGGATTATTTATTTATAAATCAAGATCCCCCATTTATATTGGACCATAAATGGGAAACGAGATAAGGATGCAAATAAGATATGTTAATTTCAAATTACAGCAAAAACGGAGAAAAATAAATTTATAAAGGAAATATTGTCATAGCGCCGCATTTAACAATTATTAAGGCAGGTATCAAAGTAGTGCTCAACGGTAGAAGTAAAATTAGATAAAGAAAATAAAAATAAGTCTAAATCAAGTTCTATGTTTAAATATAATAGATTAATATGATGACAAGGGAAAAAATTGGTTCAGTTATGATATTGTGGTAGATTTTGATAAAACTCAAGCAATGGTGTTTGCAACTGGCAGCAATCCTGCCATAGCTACTCTTTCTCCTCCCACAGTAAATGGTACTCCTATAGTATATAAGGAATTGGTGAAGGATCTTGAAGTTATTTTGGACAGAATCTTGTTTTGGAAAGAAAATGTTTTTGAAATTTCTCGTAAAATTTGTATAGTTCTGCAACAACTTTATATAAACAAAGAATCCCTTCCTACATCAACACGTATACTATTAGTTAAATCGTTAATTCTCCCTATTTTTGACTATTGCTGTCCGGTATACGACGATGTTACAGATGAATTAAATGATAAATTGGAAAGATCCTTGAATGCGTGTATTCGTTTTATTTTTAATTTGCCTAAGTTCGAACACGTTACACAATACAGGATTAAGTCTGGGTTGTTGACACTTGCAGCAAGAAGGCAATTTTTCATCGGTAATATGTTGTATTCAATATTCGATAGTAGAATTCCATCATACTTGTATGATTTCTTTGAATTTAAAAATATTGATGAATCGAATAAAAATAGGCTTCGAGGAAGACGAGCTGATTTGAAAATACCTACACATAGAACCTGCAAGATGCAAAAATCTTTTATCGTCAGGGGTGCTCGCTCGGCTTTGGAATAAATTGCCGAAAGAAATTAGAAATGTTCATAAGCAATTTTTTTTGAAGACTTATTTTCGATTTCTTCTTTAAGACACGTAATAAGATTTTTGATATAACTTATTGGTATGTAATACACCCTAGTAGAAATTTGTCATAGTATCTTTAAGGGCACTGGACAGTTCCACTGGAAAATTTCGAGGCACTTTACAGTTAAACTGGCTAAAAACTATAAAGTGATGTCACGCTAATTTCTTCAAGTTATTGTCCAGTCAAATTTTACAGTTTCTGATCATCAGTCCTGTAGAAAAACTATACAAAATAATTCACTTGGAAATGTCAAAACTTTCTTTATATTGACGTTACGTATTAAACACGTACAAATTTGAAAATATAACGTTAAATTTTTTTGTCAACAAATTAAATAAATTAAAATTTTACGAAACTATATTTTTACTGTTGGTGTATCTATTGTTCCGTATAATAAATGATTTATAATAAATTATCTGTAAAATTATTTTTAAATAACTACATAATTAAAAAAAAATATAAAAATTACTGATTCTTGAACACATGTCATTTTTTTACATTAAACAACATTCACTTTTTCCTTTAATTAAGCACAACACTGAAATAAATATTATTATTTTATCACACTACAAACTTATAAGTAAACCCTAATATGAAGAATTAATTCAGTTCAAACGAAAAATATCTAGCGGTTTCGGGGAGCGAACTCGGGTCACACTGGGACGAAATACCTAAACGCACGCTTTACGCATCACGGCCGTTCTAGTCGATGGACGATTCCGGAAAAATAAGAACCATACTCTACCGGCAGGTAAAGCAGTTCCCTTTTTCATCTTTTCTAGCTCAACTGGCGAATTACTGGACAGCTACTGCATAACACTCTAAAGTTGAACTTATTGATTATTACTGTATAGAAGTTCTGTCTGTCCAGTTATTCTCATGGTACTGTCTAGGCGTTCCGTGAAATTATGTTTCAAAGTTTGTCGTGGCGTTAGCGCTACCGTCAGTCCAGCAACTGAACAGTGTTGTGTAGACATTTTCCATAAATACATCAGAGTATACACTGAAAGAAATAATTCGCGGGTGTAACTAGAATTATGTCTATTTTTTCCGTAAGGAATTAGTAATAAATTGTTACTGTCTACTGTCATTAATTATAGACAGTTCTGTTATTCAGATCGGAGAGCTATACATATGTCAACGTCAATTCATCAATGTAAAACATAACCTCACTTTATTGGACCAATTCTAACTTTTTGTATGTAACAGGTTTGTTAAATTAATATTTATACATATAATAAGAGTATATAATCTTGAAAAGAAATTGTCTTCTGAATTTAAAAAATTAGTTATTTTAATTAACTCAATTAATTGAAGCGAATTTTAAAAAAATTTTTTTTTTCTAAAGGAATTGTCATTAAAAATAAATTTTGATTGAAAAGAAATTTTTATTATTAAATCAAAATTTTAATATTAAATAATTTAAAAAATTTGTTATTTAGTTGTCAACAGTAAAATAAAAGAACAAAATTAAAATTATAAAAACTATAAACTGTAAAACCAAAAGATTTATTTTATAGAAAATATTTCGAAAATGTCAATACACAACTGTTTAGTTACTGAAACTGGCGGTAGCGCTAACGCCACGACAAACTTTGGAACATCATTTCTCGGAACGCCTCGACAGTGCCATGAAAATAACTGTACAGGACTTCTATGCAGTAATAATCAAGTTCAACTTTATATTTTCTTTAACAGTGTTATGCAGTAGCTGTCTAGTAATTCGCCAGTTAAGCTAGATTAAACTTCCATGACTAAAACTGTACAGTAACTTGAATAAATCTAGTCATGCCACGACAAATTTCTACTAGGGCATTTGTTATATTTTTAATATTTTATTTTCTTTTTGTTTTATCAATGTTATAGTTTGTTTTATATATTCTATGTGTTTCTTTATCACAACAATTATAGATTATAGTTACGGATCCACGTCATGCTGCGTAATGAATATTAGACTCTACATTAAATAATTTTTCTATTATTTTTATTGTATTATGTATTTTTTTATTGTTTCTCCACTCAAAACTGTATTTATCTATTGTTCCTTGAAGGACTCTTTAGCCCTAGGAACCGTTTAAATAAATAAATAAAATAAATAAATAGATGGCGTAGGCAGATAGAATACTTCATAATTGTATGAGATGATTCTGGATAAGTTGATTTTAGATAATATAAGAGACGGAAATTTGAGAGCTGAGCACTTTACACAAAAAGAATAATTGTAGTTGTTAAGATACGTTTTTCAGTAATTGTCCTGAAGAATTAATACCACGAGTATTTTGATAATATAAAAGTGTAAAAGACTTTTATTTACGAAGAGATGATGATTGGGGATCCGAGGCGATAGACGATTTTGAGATTCTTCTCTCCTTGGGACATCCTTACTATCAATTTATTCACGTTGTATACGTTGATATTCCTGTTGTTAGTTCTTGGTCTTCTCCAGAGAGATAGATGTCTCTGTGAACTCGGGAGGTAGAAGTAGAAGTGCTGATTTTTTTAGCATCATGAATGCAGTGCGTATTTGTAGTGGTTTAGTGTCATTTGGAAAAATGCTTTTTAACAATCGGTGAGAATTTGACAATATGTCAAATTTTTATGTCGTCAACAATATAATAAGGAGTGCATAAAGTGAGTAAAGACTTAGGTAATGCAAGGTCTTCTTGGCGAGAATCAAGAGGAAGGGGTGGATCACCATTATTTAAACCGTATATGATTAAATTGTTGCGTCTTCTTAATCGATTTTCAAATTCATGTAAGCAGTAGTCAAAGCAGAGATTTGGAGAAAAATTGCCTTCAATAATTTCCTCGACTTTGTTCTCGAAAGCATTCACTAGAAGGATGTTCTCAAGTAATTGAGAAGTACATGCATCTATTTTCGCCGTTATGCCAGTTAATAACCCTTACAGGAATAAATAATCAAGGAGGTGAGATCTTTAAAGAATAACAAGAAAAATGATAGGTAGGATTTCTGCGCTGGCAAATAGTAACCAATGAAATGATCGTGATTTTCTGAGTTAAACAAACCGCCAGAGGAGCATTAGGATCTATAGATATCGAACACTAATACCCAATTCTCCGCAAAGTCCCCACTGGAAATCTGTGGATTGAGTATCTGCTAGGCTAATTGTGTACTTAGTGTCCGACGGAGGTTTATCACTTAATTCAATTTCCTTGTTTTTCTCTTCTTGTAACCGTCCACGAGTTTATAATGGTTGGTTCCTTTTGGTTTATTAGTTGATTTACACACGGTTCACTACATTAGAGAACATTTCTACTTCATCTTTCGGAATTCGAAATTATAGTTAACGTTTTTGAATATCGACAGTTTTCCTTTAGATTCGTAACCAGTGACCTCATAAATCCCTAGATATTAAGATAAATCTAAAGAAAGCCTAACATAAAATCCTAAATTGCATTTGTATATAGAATACCCTGCGGTCTTCGACAGTATCTTTTGATGAATGTCTATAAATAAAATGAGCTTCTGAAAATTCGAATTTCAACTACATTTATGAAAGGTTGATGATTTAAGTTAATTATGTGATTTCAGTGGAAAAGCGGTGGCATTGAAGTGACGAAGAGACCTATAGAGGGCTGGTGTTTGATACTAATCGATACATCAGTGCAGTGTGAAACGTGGTGTTTGGTTGGCGTGGCAACCCTGAAACTTCTTCCAGATGGAATAAAAAGTACGAATCAGTGACCCATTCTTCTCTACAGTAAATTGAGCACCATGGAGTAAAATAAGGTAAGATTGATAGCTTGGAAATTATTATGTTCGCATAGTACATATTATACCATTTGAGAGTCAACATGTGAGTCATAAAGGTCTCATGTTTTCGCATGTTGTTTCCAAACTCATATATACAAAAAACAAACAATCCTGTTTTCCATTTCAGTATCAGTATCACATAAAATCGAATAAAATTTCTTCAACTCTTTCAAGGAAAAATACTTTTTATCTATTTTTGTAATTCCGTTTTCTAACGCAAAAAAGTTCTGAAGTTACGGATAAAATTATGAGTATCGTGATTCAAACGTGAAATCAGAAACTTCCGCTAAAGTACTTTTCAGATATGAATCATTTCCCTTTTTATCTTTTTTAAAAATTTCTTTTATTCTCTTTTGAAAATTTTCAACTCTAAGAATCTTTCCTGGTTTAACTGACTTTTAAAATAAAACGTCAATTTAGAATTCAGAGTTGAATTCAAATATAGATTTTATATACAGAGTATGGAAATTAAATTAAAACCAAGAATCTATAAATATACGTATTACAAGAAATATAATTTTATTACTGTATGCAAAATTAGTACATTTTAATTGAATCTCATTATTTTCTGCCATCCGTGCGGAAAAAATAAGTATGGATTAACAGTGGCTTAAGGATTATCTGAACGCTGGTTGAGAATGATCTTTGAGGATTTCCACGTGAAAAGATTCTCGGGAATTCTTGCGGAATAACTTTGGGAGTAGAACTCTCTGAGCATTCCCGGCAATCGTTTTCTAGGACATTCACTAAAAAATTTTCTCTGCATCTGCATTTTTAGCTCAACTTTTTCTGGAAATAGATATTTATGAAAGTAGTTCATCAGTATTAAAGTGTCAAAGTGATCCTAGTTTGTTGATATTTTTTTATCGAAATAATCAGATTAAGTGATTCGGAAATAAATGAATTTATAATGATGTTAGAAAAGAACTAATTACTCATCGCTATAGTAATATGTAGGTAAACCAGTCTATCCACAAAACACAAAAATTTGTTGAATGTCAGACCTCAAGGGTTCTAGATAACTGACACAATTGTCAATAAACGTCTGATGAATGTTAAGTACAAGACTTTTAGAGCAGTGGTATTTTTTAATTGGGATTAACTTCTTGTAACGAAACCCAAGACTCTGGTGGCAATATTGATTGTATACTGAATGAAGTTAGAGAAAAGGAATCATCAGCAGCACCTAAGGTCATACCAATTTGGTATTTAAATGTTTTAAATATTTAAATATCACTTAATTTGCAAATGATGGATGTGCTTATTTAAGAAATGGGAAAAAGTGTTGCAGTTCCAGTTCGAACTTTCCGAATCCTACTGCTTTATCTCTTACTAAGAATGATCTTGCTGCTATGTTTGCCTATCAATTGGCGCAGTTCACTATTCAAATAGATCCTCTTAAGGAAACTTTTAATAATATTTCAGATCGTGTGGGGAAAATTGAATTGGCTGTATCTCGTGTTGAATCTTTTGAAAAGGACGTGGAAGATATTAAAGATGAAATTATATCTCTTAACTCTAGATTTGGTGATTGTTCGGAATAAATCATGGGTGAATGTATTCATGAATTGAATGATCGAAATTATCGCAAACTTAATGTTTAATTTTTTAATCTTCCTGAAGCTGGTTCAAGCAATAATAATTCTGATCATGATTCTATTTTTATCGCAAAATTTTTAACTAAGCAAAAAATCTCTGCCGGAATTTGTCCTATTGACTCTATCCTTGTCTTGGGACAGGACCCCGATGCAAGTGCGACAGTATAAGAAGACCAAAAATATGATGGAAGATTATGTTTTGCATAAAATTAGGAAGGAAAGAACCTTAGACACAAGGTAAGATTTCAAAGAATCAGGTCACTTTGCCTTAGATGATTTTGCACTACCTTATTTAGACGCTGGTTGTGAAGCTTATATTCGAAAGGTTTTGAGATGTATCAAGCAGGAGATTTGACATCGAGGTATAATGATGTGCACTGTCGATTATGGTCCACTACATACCATTAGAACTCGGCTTTCAATAAACCGGTTGTATTCAGAAGAGGTTTTCATACAGAGTCCCTCTCCTCTGGGGAGAAAATCCATTAGACGAGTGGTCCAGGCTAATGCGAGTACTTCTAATTTCAAGTCGTTCTGTAGACGCAATATTTTGTATGAGGTTTAAGGAGGAATGGTATACCTAATCGGGCCAAAAGTTTGTGACATTTAGGGGAATTTGTAATTTTGTTATTTAAGCTACATATAGGAGTTTTTCTTATTGAAATCATAAAAGTAGACATCAATGAATATTAAAAAGTATATATTAAATAGGGAAAAGATAATAAATTAATCAAATTAATTTTTTTTATAAAAGCAGAAAATAATTTTTGTAACTGTCTGTACGAATTTGAAACCTAAGAAAATAAAAGTTACTGAAATTCTCTCAAGATTATTTTCGGATTTATCGAGTGTTCCATTGCAAACTTTGAAAAAATGCTATTATTACGTATATATGTGTCTTATTATGCTGTAATATTAATGTTATTAATTATAAACATTGTCAAATAACAATTTGTAATGAGCGTTTAATCGTGACAACCTCGCAATGCAAATAGTTTGTTTTTTGATCGTTGGTAACAGTGTCAAGTGTTATGATTTGCATTTCTGTGGTTAAAAATAATGAAAATTTGTCATTTTTGGTACCTTTGGCGCCATCTCTTGGTTCTATGTACCACTAAACAGCTGTCACATGTGAGTTTATATTTGCAGTGTTGCCACGTTTTCTCTGTTTGTCTGACATAAAATTAGTTTTCTTCCAGAAACTAATTAATTACTTTTAAACTAATTAGTGAATAAAAAAGAACTTTCGTGATTAATAAAGCTTAAATCTTGACCTTCAAGATACAATTTTTACAAGAAATTCTTAATGTTTTAAGTATTAAATTTTTAATGATAAACATGCAAATTCGTGCTTTCTCCATAAGAGATAATGTTAAATTAAATAATTTATAACTTGTAAACTATTTAGTGAAAAGTTCTGAAATTTGGTGGGTCATTTTATTATATAAAAGCAAATCATTTCCCAAAATATCAAAAGATTCTGAATGTTTTGAATTTCTATACCATTCCTCCTTAACATACAATACTATTCAAAAACGTAAACGAAAATTCCTAGGTGTAAAGGCGAATTGGTGAGAAAAAGCCAGAGTCTTAACCTTCGCCAGAAAAGTGCCGACAAAAAGATTTAAGCGAGACAAATTGACTGTCCTTAAAGTCCTAGAACAAAATCGATCCCCAACAATAATTCAGGAGGACAACAGAGCGTTAGAGATACTTACACAGAATTGTGAAAAAGGAAAAAAGTAGAGCAACTTCAAGCTGTGTGAAAAGAAATGTCAGTTGCAATTTTTTCTGTAGTAATGCTAAGACAGAAATCGTTTACTGAAACAAAAAAAAGAGACGAGCGTTTAAAGTTATGAGAAGATGATATGGAAGATAAAAGAAGATAGAAGAAGAGGTCAGCAAGATGCAGAAGTCGAAAGGAATGACAGTATGACAATCATAGATTAAACAGAAAGCTTAACAACGTTTATATAGAAGCTCAGGACGGAACATGACGCAGCAAAAGCAAGGACCATAATGTCTTCCAGAGATTTTGCTTATCGGATAAAGTACGACAGTACCGTAGATTCTGATGAAACTGTTTCAACGTAATAATACTAATGATCATTATCTCCAAGTCCTTGAAAAGAAGATAAACTCAGAATTATCGCGAAAAACATACGATTCGAATATAAAGAGAAGCTTATCAGAAAAACGGAAAGAACGACGTCAGAAAGAACGTTACATTCTAGCCAGGTCACTACGAAGATTACTTAGGTCATGTAAGACCTAGGAAGAATGTAAAACGTAGGCCACAGTTGGAAACTTAAAGACGCGAATCCAAAGTCTAATCACACAACCTAAAAAGGAGAGTTCCTTATTAAAATCGGAGGATCTTCAAATGAAGATTTAAGGGATAAGCATCAATCAGCGGCATCAGGAAATCAACAGTTTAAATCATTTTTTTGATAGTAGGTTAGTTAGGTAGGTTAGATAGTAATTTAGTTGCCACTCGAATGGGTGACCACTGTGGTACGCTATGTTCCTGGTGCTTTTTACTGCGATGAGTGTCGATCGAGTTATATCAAGCGGGAGGTTTGACGTCGAGTCTATGTTTGTACGTTTGTGGTGACAATCCAAATGTGCATTCATTACTCGACAGTCAATAGACCGGTTGCATTCGGGAGAAGATTTTCTGCAGTTCTTCCCTCCTCTGGCCAAATGTCCAGGTTAATGCGACTACTCCTAATTCAAGTCGATCGACAATCACAAATATATTAACACCTAAAAATTATCTAACATCTAATTATGGGACCGGTTATCTAAACTACTGCTAGTTGACTGCTTTCCAGGGACAGAATAAATCAGAACACTTTTAATTTAATAATTGCCACGCGTCGGTTCTTCGAATCGTCCCTACAATTGCAGTATATCTCGAAAGGTATTCATTGAATTTTCTTTTTTGGAAATCCCTAACTGCCGCTAAATTCTTAATTACCAAGGAGGTGACGCAAACTAATTAGGATTTAGGTAAGGTACACAGAGATGAATATCAGGGACTTATTCTTGTACAGCGGGATTTGCGTTAATCTTTTGGAAGTACGTAATAAAAAGAGGTCGTGGATCGTTTGTACCTGGCCTATCAGCTTACCAAGGGTATGACTCTCATGGACAATAGGTCTCGTACAAATTATCTCTTTTTCAGTAATTCGCAAATTGATTCGTAACTCTCACTGTATATCAGTCGTTCAAACTTTTGTTCAACGGTCATCGTCCCACAGCATTGATTCTCACTTTGATTCAAAATGGTAATTTTTCTATAGATTTAGATAGAACACTACGAACCCCCGACTTAGGGCGGTGTCTTTCCACTCCCTGTGAACTATGCAGGTTCCT